TATATATATATATCACATTTTCCTGATCCATTCATCTACTGAGGGGCATCTGGGTTGGTTCCATATCTTAGCTATGGTAAATAATGCTGTAATAAACATAGTTGTGCTGGTAGCTTTAGTATGGTCTTGTTTATGATCATTTGGGTAAATGCCCAAAAGTGGCAGCTCTATGTGGAGTCTTTTGAGGAACCTCGATACTGCTTTCCAAACTTTTTTAAAGTTGAGCAAGTTTACATTCCCACCAACAATGCAGTAGGGTTCCCTTTTGGCCACATTCTCTCCAGCATTTGTTATTAGATTTCTTGATTATATCCATTCTGACTGGGATGAGGTGGAATCTCAATGTTGTTTTGATTTGCATTTCTTTTATGGCTAGACAGGTTGAGCATTTCTTCATGTGTCTATTAGCCATCCTTCTTTCCTCTTCAGAGAAGTCTCTCTTTAAGTCTTTAGCCCACTTATTTATCGGACAATTGTTTCTTTGAGGATTTGTTGTTGGGGGATTTAATTTTTTGAGTTCTAAGTATATTTTGATATGAGGCTGTTGTCTGTTGTATGGCTAGTGAAGATCTTCTTCCAAAAAATGGGCTTTCTATTGATCTTGGTAGCTATGTCCTTTGCCATGCAGACACTCTGCAGCTTCATGCAATCCTATTTGTCCAGCCTTTCTTGGATTTGATGTGTTTCTAGGTCTTTATTAAGAAAATTTTGGCGTGTGCCAGGGAGTTCCTTCTTGTAATATTTTCAGGGTGTCTGCTTTGACTCTGAGGTCTTTTATCCATTTGGAGTTGATTCTAGTGCAGGGTGATAGATAAGGATCTAGTTTTAGTTTTCTAGCACCATTTACTGAAGAGGCTGTTTTTCTTCCATTCTATTTTTTTAGCTCCCTTATCGAAGATTAGGTGGCTATATATAGGTCTATATATAAGCTATATAAGTCTGTGGGTTCATTTTTGGGTCTTCAGTTCTATTCCAATGAAGACCGGGATTTTCATTAGTGGACACAATGGCAGTTGTGGGAATGAAAGTGTGGATGTGTGTGCACACAGGGGATGTGACAATGTGAAGAGGCCACAGAGTTGTGAGCTGTTTTCCTACATTCATCCCTGGGGAGGAAGGCTCTCATAATTCAATCCCTGAGGCCAGCAAGGCCCATTTTCCAAATCAGTTATTCATTCAGCAAGTAGCCATTGAGTGCTTCTTACGTGCCAGAAACTGCTGGTTAGTGGAGACACAGGAGGGACCTAAATAGACAATGTTTCTTCCTTGGAAAGCTGATACAATCAAGTGCCTATAGGGCCACAGATACCTTGAAAAATGTGTCTTTCTGTCTGTCTGCCTGCCATATACAAAAAACACACACAGACATAGGGTGCATATAGCTGCTGTGGGATGAGAGAGACCCACACTCATACTGTTCTGTTCCCTTTCCTGGGATTCAGAGAGGCACCTCATCAGGGATTCTGGATGAGCAGACTTCAACTCATTTCCTTTATGGCTTTATCACACATTGAAGCAGGAAGCCTCTGTGTGTGTGTGTGTGTGTGTGTGTGTGTGTGTGTGTGTGTGTGTGTGTGTGTCCATCAATTTTCTCTATAGGTTCAAATCCTTAGCTACCCTTCTTGCAGAAGTGACTTTCTCAAAGCCCTGGAATAAGGTGGCTGCCCTTTCCTGAATAGTGGAAGGGTTATTAGGTTAGAGTAACTCTGAGGTGATTCTGTGGTATGTTAGAGAGCAGGCTTTGGAGAAAGGCAGTCTCCAGGGTAAATGATATTACCCAGATTCATTATTCTTCAGCTACTCTGAGTAAATTATTTAATTTATCCAATCTGAATCAAAGTCAGACCCTTTGAGACAGGGTCTTACTAACACAGGCTGACTTTGAAGTAACTCTCCTCCTGCCTGCTCTTGAGTACCGGGTCTGTAGATGCCCACCACCAGTCTTGGCTAAAGCCTTCCTTCTTTTTTATTAAATGGGGAAAATAGCATTATTTCTGTGAGGTAGTTTTAAGTATTAACTGAGATACTGTTTGAGATTGCCTCGGATGAAAAAAAAATGGTAGCTACGGTCTATCTTGTCATATCTAACCTGTCTTTCAGGAGAATAAAATAAGCTAATCAAATATTGATTGAGCACCTATGATATAACCTGGCTAGTATATTAAGATGGCTATTCTGATTTGCTAACTCAGCCACAGGCAGTGGTGTAGGACAGTAGTGAAAAAATTTCTCAGTGAGAAACAAGACTGATTTAGTTTTCTGGCTTTACCAGGAGCCAGCTGGTGGCTCTCAAACAATCCAAACGTTATGCTGTTTCCATTTTTGAAAAATGAGGATAATGACATCATTCTACCAGAGAGTAGCTGTTAAGTTTAGACAAGATCATACAATCGAAGCATTTAGCACAGTGTGGGCACAGAGGACAATTATGACTTGTTAGACAGGTCCAATATTAATCGTAATTATTTATTAATTAGCTTCATGTCCTTCCCCCTCTGTATGTTAGGTTGGATATAAATTAAGTTTTCCCTAGATTTCAAACAAGTCCAGGCCCAGGTGGTCAAATTAAGATTGTTGATTGAAACTAGACTTTCCTTAAAGGTTGCTTGACTGATAGTTTATAGTTGTAGTTCCTACTATAATGAAAGATAAATGATCATTTTTCTTTTATGTGTTTTTATTTAGTACCCGAACCCCATGGATAAAAACGTTGTGTCTGTAAATATTGTGGAGGAAAAAAAAGGTAAGTCCTCTGAATGTAACCTCATCATTTATGTGATGATTGTTAAATGATACTGACTCTGTAAAGATGTGTGCGTTCATGTGCACATTTGTGCGTGCCATGTATGCATGTGTGTGTGCGTATGTGTGTATAGGTGCATGCCTTGTGTGCATATGGTCCTCGGTATGATTGTGTATGCATGTGTGTATGTGTCTTAGTATAGCTTAAAGCAGTGCTCTTGTCACTTTCTACATTAATAGATGATGACAAGATTGTACTACACTGAATTTCAACCAGGTAGTATTTTAGGAACTGAATATGTGCCAGGCACTCACTTTTTTTTAAACCTATTTTATCTTGGGAATATTTGAGATATGTTTTATGATTATTCCTAGTTAATGAATGAAGAAATTGAGCACAGAGAGATTAAATAACTTGCCCAAGGTCAGATAGCAATACCCCATCATAAAGTTTGATTGACTCTTGATGGAATGGGACAATACAATGATTAGACTACGCAATTATGACTGAATTTTGGCAAATTATGGCTCATGCTGCCTATTTTGTCAATAAAGTTTTATTGGACTACAGCCACACCCATCCATTTATTTTCTATGGCTGCATCCTCCTGTTACAGCAGAGCTGAAAATTGGCATTGGAGGCCTTATGGACCACAAAAACGAAATTATTTATCATCTGGCTTCTTTCAGGAACCATTTACAAACCCCTGGGTGTGGTTGTCTCCACTGTTCTTTGCAACCCTATTCTCAGTGGACACATTGTCACGGTCACTGTTGGACCTGGATGAGCGATCAGTGCTCATAATCAATGTTTAAATCCATGCAGATAACCAGGTCCCTGACCAACATGCTCTTCTGCCTCCTTAGTATTTGAAGGTGCTGTGATTTGTGACTGATAAACATAAAGCTATCTCGTTTGTGAATGTATTTTCTGTACTTTGGTGACTAAAAAGTATTACAAAAAGAACCTTTTTCATTTAGCTACACTTAGAGTTGGAGGAACTTGTTATTTGACATGAGACAAATTTGATTTCAAGTCCTGATTTTGTTACTAGTTATGCACTATTTGGAGGCAGTTGTTTTTTTTTTTTTTTAAATCTTCCAAATGGGAATATTGTAAGCTGGTGCTGGTGGCTCACGACTGTGATCTTCACTATTCAGGAAGCTGAGATCTGAGGATTGAAGTTTAAGGGCATCCCAGGCAGGAAAGTCTGTGAGACTCTTGTCTCTAATTAACCAGCAAAAGATTGGAAGTGCAGCTTTGGCTCAAGTGGTAGAGCACCAGCCTTGAGTAAAGAAGCTGAAGGCTAACACTCAGGTTCTGAGTTCAAGTCCTATTACTGGCACACACACATTTTCCCCCTTACACCCCAGATGACTGAAGGATCTTGTTTTCAGGTTGCTGTGAAGATGGAATAGAAAACAATAGGAATGTTGGTTATAATTTCTTTCATTGTCAGGGGCATCTTTGCCTCTGAGAGTAGCCAATGTGTATGTGCTGCAAACATTGTATCAGATGGCCAAAGGGACTTCCAATGCATGGAGACTTTCTGATGCTCTCATCAGCTACCCATGTTTGCAACAGAAGTTGGGATTGACATAGTCAGAGCTTTGAGAAACATGGTAGTAGTGTGATGAGTAAATGAGAGTACTTCACAGTTTATCTGTTTCTAGACTTCTGCCTCTTTTTCTTAACTAACATTAATTTGTGTTCATTTACTTTGCCTGCTTCAAATTAAGAAACCTCTGCCCAGAACAGAATGCTTCTGATCACTCCTCTATGCGAGAAGAATATGTTTAATATAATTAGAGGCGCACATTTTGTAAGTCAGAAATCTATGCTTGGTAGTATAGAAGATACAGAATCAGGCTTTCCAGTTATTGCTCACACATGGTCTGTTGGGGTTGAGCAAAAGGCTCATTAGCTACTGTCATTGGACATTGGTATTGACCTGACATTGATATTGAACAATTTGTGATTAAAAAAATTTTTTTACTCTTGACTTTCACATGTACATTCTGAGTTGCTATTTTCCTCCTATTCTTTGATCACAGATCAGGAATATGTAATCTGGCTCAGACGAAGTGGTCAGGAAAACTGAGTTTTGAAAAAGTTCAACATTTTCTCTAGGAATTCTACATGTAGACTTTGATGCCCTGCATCTTGTATATACATTTTTTCTAATTTAGGGAGGGGAAGGGAAATAACAAAATGCTGAAACAGGGATACAGGTTGACCCACTGTAACAATGAGATGTATAGACACTATGTTGAAAACAAACTTTACAATTTATGGGGTGGGGATGGGGGAGTTAGGGAGGTGGGAGGGAAGGGATAGTAGGGGAAAAACAAAGGAGGAGGTAACAATGCTCGATAGGAAATGTACTCATTACCTTACCCATGTAATTGTAACTCCTCTGTACACAAATTTTACAATAAAAAACATAAAATAATTAAAAAAAGAAAAATGGAGCTTGATTTAAAGACAACAGTACATTTTGTTAAGTAATTTTTTTTGTAAGTATAAAATTTTCTTTTTCTAGATGAATCAACAGGAATCATCTATAGAAAGAGAATTGCAATCTGTCGGAACGTGGTTCCAGAAATTTTAAGGAAGGTAAATTCAGTTCAAAATCTAACCACAGTGGATGCAGTATGGGTAGTTTCCTGATGTAAAGGTGTGTTGGGGTCCACTACCCCACCACATTGTAGCTCCTTAGAGAAGGAAATGCTTCCATAACCAATCAGCTTTAGCAGATACTATGGAAATATGATGTTTAAGTCTGTCTCCTCTGAAGGGTCTTGATGGAGGTAGCTATGGTTTATGATTATTTTGAGGACACTGTCTGCATTATATATGAAGTGACTATCATTTCTAGTGTGTTCATGGTTAGGAATGACTGTGATAAGACAGATTAGAAATTGGAAGATATTTGTCTCATTTTTGATAAGGACGTGAAAGCTTTACTTTTTAATTTACTATGGTAAGACTACCATAGAGCACTGTGTGTTTCTGTGTGTGTTTCTTTAAAATGTTATCATCAAAGATAAAATTCCACTATAGTCAATTGATTTCTCTCTTTGATACCCTTAAGCACTCTGGTGATTCTTGGTTGGAAAAAGGTGAGTGGAAATCTTATTTAAATACCTTTTTTGAGCCCTAAGGGATTGTTGACTGGGCTCTTTTTTGAATCATTAGGAAGAGGAGATCTCATGATAGGTACTTTCAGAAATGTCTGGGATGGTTGTGTCAACCCGGAAGAGATTCTGCATGGTTACATAGGACTCAGCTTGGTGCCTGCTGCTTAGCTTGCAGATCAGATTGCTGTGCAGTACATAAGCAGCTTTCATCACTTTCTAATCATGGGTTAAAAGACTCTGTCACATTCGTACTGGAAAGAAGGCTAATATAACAATGCAAATGAACTTTCTTTTATTTTTCAATAAAATGTGCTACACAGTAGAAGCAAATTATTACTGGCATTTTCCACAGAGTTCATACTCTTCCTTTGCCCTATATACTCACTTGAATCTATTATTAAAAGGCATTCAACTTTGTCTTGTATCTCAATTCTTAAATAATTTAAGGATATAGCTCTGACTTGTACAATTCTGCCTTTGTAGTTTTCCATGTCGTCTTCATCTAGGAGAGCACACACTTTGAGGCATTGCACAGAGTTTAAAATGAAGTTATTTCACCTGCTAGCTTCTTGCACATGGTCCTGTAAGTGGGCTCGATTAGAATCTATCAATTTAAGGAGGCCACAGCCAGCCCTAGAGGAGATGTGAAGGAGGACGGCTGATAATTTGCTTAGTATTTAGCACTTAGGGAAATCAGGCCAGGGACAGCACAAGAACATAAATCCTGAGCCATCTGCATGTCCTCTCCAGCTCTTAGTAAGGTTATGGTAGGTTTGATTATCAAGGACTCAAGGCCATCTGTATATCAGTATTGCTTGTCTTCTTTATTACCCAAGCCTGGACACAGTTCTAGACACAGCTCCTTTTATAACAAGCTTTTCCTGCATTGAAAAAGTCATTCTCCTTCTGTTGGACAGGTGAGCATTTTAAAGGTACCTAGTATCCAGTTAGAAGAGGAATCATGGCTCAATCTTCAGGAGAGAAACATGGCTATCCGGAGTCACTGCCTTACATGGACCCAGTATGCATCCATGAAAGAAGAGTCTGTCTTCCGGGAAAGCATGGAAAATCCAAATTGGTAAGATCCCGTGTGTGTGTGTGTGTGTGTGTGTGTGTGTGTGTGTGACACACATATAGATCCTATTTACTTGACATGTCTAAAGTAGGCAGATCCACAGAACAGAAAGCAGATTAGTGGCTGCCGTGGGCATCACTAATGGATGAGTAGGAATCTACCCAGATGACCTGGGGAAAGATTCCCATCTCCTATTACCTTCAACTGTGTGTTAAAGTTTCATTGTAAGTTCTGGGGTGGCTCAGCTCAGGGAATGCTTGCCTTGTGTGCTGAGACTCTGGGTTCCATCTCTAGAAACACACACACACACACACACACACACTCAGCTCAGGGAATGCTTGCTTTGTGTGCTGAGACTCTGGGTTCCATCTCTAGAAACACACACACACACACACACACACACACACACACGTTTCCACCTAGGATTTTGAGGGGCAGACAGGCATATATTGCCCTCCAATGTGTTAATACGTTAATTTGCCTTCATTAACAACATATAAGTATACATTGCCCTACATCATGGCTAGCACTTACATTAATATGCTTTTCTAACTTTTGCCAGCATGATAGATTAGAAATTATTAATTATTTGGGAGATTTAAAAAAATGTTATCAGAAGTGGCGCTGTGGCTCAAGTGGTAGAGCGCTAGCCTTGAGCTGAAGAGTTGAAAGACAGCGCCCAGGCCCAGAGTTCAAGCCCCATGACCAAAAAAAGAAAAAAACAACAAAAAACCCAACAACAACAACAACAAAAAACCCCAGATAAAACAAAAACAAAATGTTACCAGACACTAGTGGCTCACATTTGCAATCCTAGCTACTTGAGAGACTGAGGGCTCAAGGACTGTGTTTTGAAGCCAGGCAGAAAAGACTGTGAGATTCTATCTCTAATTATCCATCGAAAAGTTATGGTAAGGCTAGGAATGTGGCTTGGTGGTAGAGTGCTTGTTTAGTGTGCATGAAGTTCTGGGCTTGATTCTTCAGTACCACATACATAGAAAAAGCTAGAAGTGATGCTGAGGCTCAAGTGGTAGAGTGCTACCCTTGAGCAAAAAGAAGCTCAGGGACAGTACCCAGGCCCTGAGTTCAAGCCCTAAGACTGGCAAAAAAAAAGAAAAAGAAAAACTAGGCTAGAGATGTGGCTTGAGTGCCCATCCTTGAGTTCAAACCCTGGTACTAGGAAAACGATTTTGCTTTTGAGACAGGGCCTTACTATGTTCCCTAGGCTCGTCTCCAACTGCGGGCTCAAGTGATAGTCCTGCTTCAACTTTTTGGGTATCTGATAGTACAGGCATGTGTCGTCATACCCAACTCTTGAAAGTACATTTTCAAACAAAAGTAAACTACCACAAGTAGTATGGTTGATAGTAATTATTGAGCTGTCATTTCAGAGGATAATTTTCTTTGTTATTGTTCTATGTGGCTTCAAGTTTTTATTATGCACCTATCATTTTAACGGAAATGGTAAAGTTTTCAAGAGCACATTAACTAAAACTCCCAAAGCTCAAAGTTATCCTTAAGCACCACTTTCTCCAATCATAGGAATGTCATGATACCCATAGGTACTCCAGCCTTCCACTGGATGGATGAGAATGCCAGATCTTAGCATCAGGACTGGGTTTATAGAACCACTGAGCAATTACTTTGCTTTTGAGGTCACGGAGAACATGGATGGTTGGGAATAAGTACACAGGCTGTGACCAGAGAACAGAGATCTTTTGTTTGCAATAATAGTGAAACAATGGAATTGTCTGATTTTATGCCAAATAGATCTCTATCTACTTTATATTTTAGTATGAAATTTAGCAAGGAATTTTGGCTATTGGCCAGTTCAAAAGCTAACCTGAACTTTCATCTGTTATAATAACTATCTCTGATAGTTATTATATTTTCCCAGGGAAAATGTCCTTCAGGGAACTCTTTCACTTAGTTCATTTCATAAACATTATTTTAAAAAGTAATTTTGATGTTGGAAAAAATGATGGTGTGCCTCATAAAAATGTTAACCAATTATGGAAAAAAAGACAATTCCTCACCTAGGGTGGTATGTGTTTACATAGTAGTCTTGGTTCATTCCTAATTGACACTTAGGTTGTTTCTGAACTTTTGGCTGTGACAATGCTATAATGACTATCCCTGTTTTTTCTCACTTATTTGTGTGTGTGTGTGTGTGTGTATGCGTACATGCATGCATACATGGGCTCATGCGTGTGTGTGCACGAGCTAGTACTAAGGGTTTGAACCCAAGTCCTTGAACTGCCATTTTGCCTTTTTACTCAAGGGTGGCACTTTATCACTTGATTCACAACTTTAGTTCTAGCTTTTTGCTGGTTAGTTGGAGATGAGTCTCTTGGATTGTCTGCCTGGGCTAGGCAGGATTCTCAGACCTCAGTCTCCTGAGTAGCTGGATTACAGGTATAAGCTACTAGTGCCAGCTTCAGCTGCCTTTTAAGGTAGGTAGAACAAATGAAATTTCTGTTTAGGATTTTTGGTGGCTAATTGGCGATAAAAGTCTCCTGCCTGCCTGGCTTTGAACCACAACCCTCAGATTTCAGCTTCCTGAGTAGCTAGGATTACAGGTGTGAGGCCACAAATGCCCACCTTATTTATTTTTATTTTTAATCACTAATGCCAGTATTTATTGGTACCTACTATATCAAGGTCAAAGCTAGATCTTTGCAGTGCAGCTTTTCAGTCCTAGATTAACAGTTTGTCCAAAAGTGGTATAGCCATTGAACCCAGATATGGACCTAGGGAGACACCTTGGGGTGGCTGCATCTTGAGCTAAGGAGTGAGGTAGGAATCTGGAAATCTATAAAGGATGCTGAGATTTTATAGTAAGACCTTGTCTCAAAACAAATTTGCATGGTTTTTAAATATTCGAATCTACAATATGCATTTGTTTTCCTATAGAAAGAGTATTTGTAATCATTTCCCTTTCCTGAGAAGCATGCTCCATGCATTTGCTCTGTACACAGTCCTTAGGATCATGAGACCAGGAACCTTCAATGTTAGTTTCAGAATGAGATTTAAGCACTGGAGAGAATAATATTCAGGGGTGAACATCGGCATTTGGCATGGGCAGAATTCTCTCATATCTTGGTTCTTTAAATTACTGTACTACATGCCTTTAATCCTAGTTACTCAGGAGGCTGAGATCTGAAGATCAATGGTTCAAAACCAGCCCAGGCAAGAAAGTCCCTGAGACTCTCATCTCCAATAAACTACTCACAAAAAGCCGGAAGCTCAGGGACAGTGTTCAGGGCTAGAGTCAAGCCCCAGGAACAAAGAAAACAAATAAACAAATAAATAAATAAATAACTGTAGTTGTAGGGCCAAGGTCATCAAAAGGATGCTTTACATTTATTATTAATTAATGAATTACCTCATTTTTGATGCTGGAGATGAACCATTGCTAGATGAGTGAGTGGTCTACCACTGAGCCTAGATAGGAGTGCTTTGATCAACAGCCTAAGAGCCTAGAGTCAGAGCACCCAGGCTATTGCTCTTGCTTTGCATTAAGACTCTTGGAGCAAATGAGAAAATAGAAAAGGGAATCTTTATCTGATTAAGATAAAAAATGAAAATAAAATTTCAAAAATAAAATTAAAAAGTGAACTCTTGTGGAAATATGCTTTACTTATGACATAGAGCAGGGCACAAGTATTTACTTTGGAAAATAGAGAATTGACCATTTTAGGTTTGTTTAGGAGAAAAGAATGGAAAATCATGTTTTCTGTATTCTGAGTTAGGCTTATTAATTTCTTAATTTATATATGCCCTCTGAAATATATTTATTTATTAGCTTAGAATTTCTCTTTATGCTTCCTTTGTTTTAATAGAGTTTTATTATACTTGGAGCTTAATTTTAAGTTATACTATGAATAAAACTTCATCTGACTTGAGTTTATTACTTGGTATTTTACCAAAACAGCATAATCCTAAAAGATAGACAAGCAGGGCACTGGTGCCTCATGCCTGTAATCTTAGCTACTCAGGAGTCTGAAGTCTGAGGATCTGATTCACAGCAAGCTCATTCAAGAAAGCCCATGAAAGTCTCCAGTTAACTAACAAAAAAGTAGAGCTGTGGCTCAAGTGGTAGAGCACCAACCTTGAGCAGAAAAGCTATGGGACAATGCTAGGCTCTTGACTTCAGACAATAGTTCTGGCACACCCACACACCCACATACCCACCCCCACACATACACAATAATGATCATATTCTTGTCAAAGGGATCAACTATCCTTTCACCATAACCAAACATTATTATGGCAAGTAATTAGTTTAATAACTTCATTATTTATGTTATTATTGAAATTACTCATATAGATATTACTGATTCTACTAAATCAGTATATCATTTTTTTGTGATGTTTGAGTTTTAAATTTGTGGGTTAAAACATCCCAAGTTTCTCACAAACAAGGTGACACTAAAGCTACCAGCACAACTTTGTTTACTGCAGCATTATTTACTATAGCTAAGATATAGAACCAACCCAGATGCCCCTCAGTAGATGAATGGATCAAGAAAATGTGGTATATATACACAATGGAATTCTATGCCTCCAT